ATTTCCCAAAACATATTGAGAAACGTGTACAAGCATTTGAAAACCGAATGTTCAACCGTTGTATTGGAGTAATCCCCTCAACTCTACAACATATTCTCAATGTCATATCTGTTGAGTGGCCCGTTTCCGAAAGAGCCCTTTTTTGCACTGCCAATGAGTTAATTAAAGTCAAGATGATAAATCCTTGATTTTTTCAGGAAATTATATCTCTCAGTAATACTGTCACTTGCAGCTTTACTTTTTGCTCTCAAAAACTTCTTTTGCTTCAAAAACTGATAAGTTAGATTCAGTTCCTCCCTTGAATTTCATTACCAGAGTCTTCATGAACATTCTCGAATCGATCTCTACCTCAAAATAAAATGTCAACTTCTCTTGTATTAGGACGTTATGCCAAGAAAAGGTACTTTTTTCTTACAGCAACGGCCACGATATATATGCCACCGACGGTTCCATCGGACATAATGCATCTGGGTTCTCGGTTGTGAAACATATATCTAAAACAGTGCGTCGAGTCAAAGTGGCGGACGAACTTTCCTCGACATTCATTGAGTTGCTCGTCATCCGACAGTCTATTAGGGGTGCTATCTCTGATGGTATCTAAAGGTTTGTTATTTTTCTCTACTTCTAATAAATAAAAAAGATGCAGAGAATCAATATGTGTTTGATATTCATAAGATGTTGCGTGAGTCTCAAGTGAATGACTGTCAAATTGTTTGGGTACTTGGTCAGTGCGGCTTTTTTTTAAGTCTGAAAGCCGACTTTTATGCAGGGAGGGCGGTTGTTGATGAGACAATTTCGTCCGTCAAATAAACTGCCAATGAAGCGATTCTGGCAATTCTCAACCATATCCTTCGACAGCTAAACGAATTTAAAGAAATCGCGCGAGTTAAAACTAATCGTCTTTTCTATAAAGTAAATCCCACATTTCAATTGAAATCCTTTTCTGTATCTTCTTTTAATTCCTAGAAAACCAACATTTCTTATAGACTCATGAGTGCTCAGACTTATGATAATGTTTATTTAAAAATGATTCGTGCTATACCATCTTATGTTTGTGAAGTTTGCAATGTTGTCGAGTCTGCTGAGCATCTAATCTTCAGATGTCACAGGCTTGATGGCATTAGAGATTCCTTTAGCTTCTTCAAGTTATATAACTGTCTCCTCGATATCTTTGCAGTAAAAAATGTACGTCATCTCGTGGAACTAATTTACTTTATTAAAAAAGCGAATTTATCGTTTTAGAATTTTTTTCTTTTCTTCCTCTTTTTTCTCTCGTTCATTCATTTTCTATTACTATAGCATTCCTTTTTCGATTTCAGCTAAAGTATGCAACACTGTTCGACTTCCAACGACTCAACCAGCAGAATTACACATGCACACACAATTGCATTTAACATATCGACTCCAGTTATTTTTGAAAATAGGGTAAAATCGAATGCCACGCCTATAAAAATTGTATAAAACTATTCAGGAGACGTACAAGGGGAGATGAATGCATATTTTTGATACATTTATATAAAAAAGATTATATATTACATTTCAACCAAACCATTTGTTTGAATATATATGTAAAGAGAATATTCATTTTTTTTTTTGAAAATAGGATAAAATCGAATGCCACGCCTATAAAAATTGTATAAAACTATTCAGGAGACGTACAAGGGGAGATGAATGCATATTTTTGATACATTTATATAAAAAAGATTATATATTACATTTCAACCAAACCATTTGTTTGAATATATATGGAAAGAGAATATTCATTTTTTTTTTTGAAAATAGGATAAAATCGAATGCCACGCCTATAAAAATTGTATAAAACTATTTGATTAATATATTTCAACTTTAAAATAAATGGCTTTTATTGTTTGTTTTTCATAACATTTTGAATTTTGAATTTACTGTGATTGCTGCATATTGACATAATTCTTTTTTTTCATCTTTTCGACTTCCCCTAATTTTTCCCATCGCACTAGTTTTGAATGCTTTGGTTGAGTATTAGGTTGGTGAGAAAGTCATAAGTCATTCCAGCTTCTTCTACAGATCTTTGCGTGTATATTAATATGAGCTCGCAATATATATTTAAGCATTCTATTCAGATTTGATAAGTAAACTTTACCGCAGTAAGATTTGAGTCCGCGTACATTAACTTGATGATCTCGATTTTTAGAATATCCAAATACTAATTTTACAATCCTACACTGTTTAGGAGTTGTCAAGCCCGTGGATTAGCCTTTTAAAACACTTTCAATATCCTAGTTTTTAGTACAAATGTGGACGAGATTTGTCAAATATTTGCATTCTATTGGTCTATAAGACGGAGACCTCGTGAGCGCGAATATCGTAGTCATACATATTGCAGAAACAAATTCAAAATTTACGCTCAGTGTTATATTTCCGTTCTCGTTCGTTTCATTACAATTGCAAAGTTAAGAGCAAAAGCGTTCCCCTGCTCGCTATTCTTATTGTCAAATGCACTATTATTTGTTTTATGTTGTCAATTTACTAGGAATGCTTTAAATAAAAACAAGAAGAAAGCCATTACAAGAATTCCTCCCTTGCAATAGATATTTTGTCTCCCACATTTAAGTGAATGTAACTAAGAATGATTTGTCGCTTGTGTTTGAAAGAAGTTAATGAATTTAAAAGCGTCTTTGATGCGGCGGAGTCCAAACTGGATATGGCCTCAATAATTGCAAAATATTTTTGGTTTGAGGTAAATAATTTTCGACTATTTCCGCAAAGAAAATAAAAAAGTTTTCTTCTGTTCTGCAGCTCCAACAAAACGATCAAATATCAACAGTAATTTGTAATAATTGTTGGCTTAAAGTCTCTGATTTCCATGAGTTCTATAAAAGTGTTGAGAAAGCTCAGAGCAATCTAGGCGAGAATGTCGTAGTGAAACTAGAAAACAATAATGTAGAGCATTCCCTAGAAAATGTTATGATTCAATCGATTCCTTTTTCAAATAAACTTGAGCCCAATGATGATTTGAACGAATCTAATGATGAGTATCCTTTTGAGATGCCAATAGATGAGGCGGATAATAAATCATCATTACTTCTAAAAGAAAACGATTTCAATGACAAACGTTTAAGCACTAATGCTGCGGAAGAAGTTAGGAATGTCATTAATTACAAAGATGAAAAATTTGATGATGACGATGGCGACCCATTTAATAGCGAGGAAACAAAAATTGGCAACAAAAGAAAAAGTACTAAACTATCAAAAAAGGAAAAATCTGTCAAGTCTGCAAGAACGATTAGAATGAAAAATGCTTCGCCCAAATTACCACGGAGTGCAAATGAAAAAGGTACAAGAAAATTGAGTAAAAGCGAAAACAATGATCCAAAAAAGACAAAATTGAAAAAACCCCTTGAAGATCCCAAAAGTTTGGCTATCGATGAGGAGATCGCTAAGTTTATGAAACTACAATGTGAGCGATGCAAGTTGGAAGTTGCAAACTTTAGCGCTCTTCAAAGTCATATGCTCACCGAACATAAAATCAAAGGTTACACCCGGTGTTGTCATAGGAAATTTTCGTCGCGAGTTTTGCTAATTGACCATATACGACAGCATGCAAATACCGATTGTTTCAAGTGAATAAATTCCCGCGGGTCAATTTGATTTCCAAATGTTATTTTGATTTTGTTTTTAGATGCGGTCCATGTAAGCGGGTTTTCGCAGACCGTAAATCTATGCAAAATCATTTCCTTATCAAACATCAAAAGGATGAGGATAAAATGTTCTCCTGCTCACAATGTTCCAAGAAATTTGTTAGAAGATATTTATTACGACAGCATGAATTGGTGGGTCATGGCGACCATAAAAACGCTTCTTTAGCTGTTGATGAGGAAATAGCCAAATTTATGTCATTACATTGTGAAAAATGCAACGAAGAGGCGACCAACTTTAGAGCCCTTAATCGGCATATGCGTGCTGAACACAACGTGCGACGCTACGTCAGATGTTGTAATAGGAAATTTCGTGAGCGGGGTTCGCTTGTTGAGCACATACGCCCACATTTAAATCCTGCTTATTACAAGCAAGTAAATCCATTTTTAAGGAAAACGTTAAATAATTTTTTTTTTTTTTCTAGATGTGGGGAGTGTAGTCTCGTTTTTCCCGATCGCAAGTCTCATTTTGTTATACTCAGATATTGCTGAAAATTAATTAACGAACAGTTAATTGGATTTATACAGATATATAAAATTTATTTATTTTATTACGGTCGCTCTTGTTTTTGTCGCGTTCTATGCATATTTCTGACCAAAATTACATTTTATTATCAGGACAAATGAGCCAGAAATCTATTGGCTTAGTCCATCTCCACCCAACAATCCAAAAAAAAAAAAAAATCATATAGATTTGCTATATAAGCTAAACATACTAAAATATTATTATTTCACAGAGCAATTCAGGTTGTGTGGTTTCAACTCGTTTACATTTGCATTAATTTATTTCATTTTGCATATTTAAATATATATTCTTATACCTGGCATAAAATTTCTAAATATATGTGAGACACACTGCTGATGTGCTATTTTGCTTTTACGTGTCCCTCCACTACGCTTCCGTATGTGGTTTATTTATAGAAAACGGCTTGGGCCTTATTTTTTACGTGTTTCTGGAAAACGTGACGAGTATTGAAAAGTTGATGATAATGGTACATGATTAACCTATGGACGACAATCAACTATATCCCAAAAAAAAGACGGAGCGATAGTTACAGCGAGAATTGATTGCTTACATGATTACCCTCTTTTGTCAAAGAATGACTTTTTTTAACACGGGAAATCGGGAACAAAATATACGGGAATTTGCGTTGTATTTTGTTTTTCCGCGTTAACATTCGTAATAGTTCATAACGTATCGTTGCTTCTTCACGCAAATCGTTTCTTCTCACTATATTACCAATATGAGAGCGAAAAATTCAGATGGCGTGCAAACGAATTCTTATGAAGTCGTGTTTATACAGAGTTGCTTTCCACTTAACGAAAAAGTGACTTCATTTTTTATAAAACAATATATTGTTAATTGAAGATGTCATATTACCCGTTTTGCGATGCTTGCACGCTATTGTTAACATGTGTGTAACTGTATAGAAACTCTCCCTTAATTTATATTGCTTAAATAAAGAAAACAGCTGTTTGCTATAACTTTACCTGATTTATTTTATTGTACTTAACGTTTTACTAAACAATAAAACAAAATTTCGTAAATTTGTGGAAAAAATGTTTGAAGTAGAACAGATAATTGCTGATCACAAAGATGTTATACATGATGTGGTATTTGATTATTATGGACGTCGCATGGCTACTTGTTCCAGTGATCAAACAGTAAAGGTAGAGTGTCTTCGTGTAAAGCTTTTGAAAGAAGCTGACAATATAAGCGTTACAGGTTTGGGATGAAAACGATCAAGGAAAGTGGTCTGTAACATCAAGTTGGAAGGCGCACTCTGGGTCAATATGGCGAGTATCGTGGGCTCATCCGGAGTTTGGGCAGGTATTGGCTACATGCTCATTTGATCGGACTGCTTCCGTCTGGGAAGAAGTACTGGGTGAGAAGGTAGCGGCGACTATGACTCCAACGAGACGTTGGGTCCGACGAACCACTTTGGTAGATTCACGGACGAGTGTAACTGACGTAGAATTTGCACCAAAGTATTTAGGTCTAGTGTTGGCCACTGCGTCTGCTGATGGTATTATACGTATTTATGAAGCCCCAGATATAATGAATTTAAGCCAATGGCCGGTACAGCACGAAATTGCTAATAAATTTCCTCTAAGTTGTCTGTCATGGAATACTTCAACTTACAAATTGTCTTCCCAATTATTAGCGGTAAAGCGCAAATTTGTGGAGAGAGTTGTTTTTTTTATCAGCATTATTTCTTTCTAGGCTGGTAGCGATGATATGGCCACAATTACGGGTAAAGTTTTTATATTTGCTTACAGTGAGAATGCACGCAAATGTGTTAAGGTCGATACCATCAATGACATCACAGATCCTGTTACTGATTTATCTTTTGCCCCAAATGCTGGACGTACTTTTCACATATTAGCTGTTGCTAGTAAGGATTTATATATCGTTAATATCAAGGGGACAACGTAAGTAGAACATAGAAATATATATATCCCAAAGAAAATATGGCATTTATTCAATTTTTTCATTGCTTGATTACCATGCATTTTGGTGGGAACTTTGTAAATAATTACCGCACACCTTGCAAAGTGTAAAAATTTTGATTTATTTCAAATTCCGGCGATATTTTCTGAAAATTTCAAAAATTAAAACAAAAATCTCAAACCTGGTATACACGTTTTCAAACACGTAATGCAATTGCAATTTGTTTTGGAAATCTTCATGATCAAAAATTTTTACAATATATCAAAACTCATATGTGTATTATCACTTGTAATGTGTTAGATACAGTTTCATAGTTTGTGGGATTACGTTGCAGATTTTTTCGACAGCTTAATGCTGAGATGCAGGACGTCAGGTATATATGTTATTTAATTGTTTTGTGATGTTGCGTAAAAATGTTTGCAATACTAGCGAACAATTCAAATTAACAAGCGCTGGCGGAAGGCTTATCAAATTCGTGGTCTTGTTCATATTTATCGGTTTTACGCATTTCCATCTTAATTTGTACTTCGCTTTTATTATTGGTAGTAATATTTTTTGATTTTAGGCCTTTTTATTTTCTTACTGTATTATCATACGCCGCTTTGTTAGCAATTAAGCTATTATACGACACACTGTGTCAAGAAATTATATCTTGTGCTTAAGAACGTTTACATATCTTTTGAATGGTAATATCTTTCTGCTCTGCCGAGTTCTCACTTTGCTGAGACGCATTGACGCATGAGAAGCTTTTCGGTCTCCTTGAGCCCGCTATGGATGTAATTTATGAGTTTAAAAAAGAAGCCCTGTGGATATGCTCTAATTGCAAATTGAAAGGGATTGATTTATGTAAGTCCATTTTCCAAATTTCGGAGATTTCTTAATATCTGCCATTGTTCAATGGTGGCTTTAATAAATCTCAAAATAGATGACGTTGAAGTCTATTTTATCCGTTGAAGTCTTCTTGTTTTTATCTCCACGAGCTTCTTCACTAACACTTTATTTTCCAATCCTCTTTAAGTATTTGTATTGATATTAATCATTCTTCGTTCAAGTCACCCTTTAAATTTGCGCCCTCTGGTACTGTCACTTCTTAGTCCGTTGCATCTTAAAATCTTCCACAGCTATATAAGCCAAATTTCCACCTTGATCTCCTAAACTACAAAGCCCAGAACTGCACCCGAGTGATAGAAGTTCGTAAGTCAGCTGTTCATTTTGCTGTTAATTTCTTTGCTGATAGCATCGAAAATATTTTAATGTTACCCATAGCTGTTTTTCAGGAAAGTGGTTAAAACTAGGTATGTTCAATACAGAAAGTTTTTGAAGAGAGTGCAGATATGGTAAAAATGGTAGGTTTGATTCCGGGCATCTACTTATGTATTACTTATATTATGTATAATATTAAAGAAAATTTAAGAAATATTCTTATAACATGTTTCGAATTTGATTGCTTGATACTTAGATATATCTACCTCGTTAAGAGATGATAATATAAACATGATGTTAAAGGATTTCAACATACATTTTGTCCTTTGGCGTTTTGATATAAACGTTAATCGATTAACCCCATCCGGCCAATCATATCGTCATGGTGAGCTTTGATTTAATATTTGTAACTTTTCTTATTCTAAATGAACAAAACGCCGAACGGCCATAATAAAACTTTATACATGGAATTCCATAATATAAATGGGCGACCTCTTTCCCGTGCTTTGCTCTTTGTTTACCCTGAAGATCGCTATTACGTTACACTTAGTATCCTTAAAAGGTTATGCCTCTAGTGCCTCTCAAGCTATTCTAATGTTACGCTTATTTTCCGCATGTAAATTTTACACTGTAAAAAATCATATTCTTGACAGTTTTAACTACTCTCAGATATTTATTCTCTTACAATCATCTTTCTATGCGGCGTTACAATACGCTTTATATCTTTTTATCCTTATCATTCTAGATGCGGCCGGCTTGGCCCAGCCGGCATTGGTCACTAAATATGTGAGAAAAGTAATAAGTAGAACCGCCCGCCTACAATCTCGTTGCTTCTCATTGTAACTATTTACCTGAAGTGTGATCTACACAAACGTCTTTGGCATAAATTATATAACGTCAAACCTTTCCATGATCTATAATCTTTTTCAGTAGAATTATTCGCAAGAAACAACCACATAGCCTGACTACTAGTATGTCAAAAAAGTTATAAAATATTTCCACCAACCCATTTTCGCACTTCTTCAACTTTGTGGACTTGAGCGCCAGCCTTGCTGAATCGGCCTGAACAAGTAATAATCAGGGACGCCATGTCTGGTGAGTAGGCTGGGTGTGGCAGAACTTTCCATTCGAGCTGCGACAGTGTATCTTGGACAGCCATTATAGCAAGTGGTCAAAACAGGCATTTTCAGCCAATTCTTGTCGCCACTTTTAAACTCCTAAACCAAAAACGAAACAAGTGGGAGTAGGGTTTCAGCAGCAGATTTCTTCAAATAAACCACAAAAGTAATGAATTTGAAAGAACGAGAATTTTTGGCACTCCCTGATTAGCGTCTGCGTACGTAATATTAAATGGAAAACTTATTTTATGCAAAGGAAGGGCAAAACCATCAAATTCAACCGTTATGTGCAGTGGTATTTTCCTTTTGTTTATAATTTTTGCCTGTTGAAATCGCTGATCAACATTTTTGCAATCATTTAATACATATATAGAAATAAAACAAATAAGAAACTCATTTACGGCTACGTTCGAATCTATTCTATCCGTTACCTTAATCCTAAAAAACACGAATTTTGTATAGTCTGTAATATTGGACGAATGGGTTGATTATATATACATTTTTGTAGAATATATATGAAAGTTTTTATCGCATGTCCATCGTAGTTTTGTCTAGTATAGCATACTAACTTGTAAGCAGCAAAGTTACTGGAGAATTTAAAGGCGTATGTTTACAGAAAGCTGTACAGTTCTGCATAAAGTGTGGTTCAGTTCATGGCTATTAAAGAAATCATTAAATGTGAACTGTGGTTTTGATTCTAAAATGGTATGCATAGTTGGTCAGCGCACTCCTGGCCCAAATTTTGGGTCGATTGGTTCCTTCCTCTCCAAAATGCGCGATTCGTCTCTAGTTGTGAGTCTGTAATGCATACTCTGGCAAGTTTCGTTAGGCTATCATCCAGATGTATACGATGCATAGTTTTCTCTGCTATTGTTAAGCATTAATTTCCCCTCAATGGTTTCAATTTGTCTTATCGGCGGAAGCTCTAAAAAGTTGCTCCTATTGCAAAATATTAGTTTTTTGCGTCCGCCTATTGCAACTTTTTTATTCCAATTATTGCTCTGAGAAAAAGCAACATTTCTTTTCAAAAATATAATATATTTGAATTTATGCGTTTTTAAGGAACGTAAATTTTTCCTTGTTTTAATTTAGACTTCGATTATTTATATAACATGTATTTCTTTATGGCTGTGACTTATGATTACTGTTGTATTTATTTATTTTTGCTATTTATCACTTGCCGTTTGTTATTATATTCTGTATATTTAATTTTTTTGACTGACTTCATCATTTTTTCTTTGCTATTTAGAAATTGATTCTGATTTTTGAAATTTTTCTAATTTTAGCCTGTTTCGCTTTCATTAGAGTCTTTGTTAGTATATCTGGTTCTTCAGATATTATATATTTCACTAATATTTAGCAGAGGCACACTTTCTTCGTATATACTGAACGACTACATCGGCGTGCTTATGTACAGTCAGGGCCCATTACCATGAAAAGCGCGCTGGAATCTCTGTATGTTATTTTAGTCCGCGTTCAAATAATAAAACTCGATGAAAAATAGATTATTTGATACCTTCATAAAGTGCTCCGTACTCATCTTTCACTGCATTTAAACCCATTGCCTACTTCTACTTAGATTCTTAAGCAATTGATCCCGCAGCCATAGGAACCACGTAGACGTTGCATAATTTGCGATCATTTTGACTACCACTCCAATTTGATTTTTCTTTTGGGGACAAAATCATATTTAGCTGCTTTTCTGTGCTTCACATGTAGATTGGTATTAAACCAAGAAAGCTTTGTTAGTACATGGATCATATCCAGACCCGATAATATAAATAAATGTATCAAATGTGGGCGATAGATAAATATATCAAATTACGAGCTTTTTAATCCGTTTAGAGTCATTTGACCCTATTATCAAATCAAGTTTCCTTAATGTGCGCGATTTGCCTATGTCGTATTCATATTAACATGCAATCTTAACGTCTTAGTATCATTCGAAAATTAATTGAATTTCCTTACTATTATCGGTTGCCAAGCCTTTGCATGTTTTTAACGGCTTACGGGTTCACTTACAATTCGGATCTGCATCGGTTGCGGGTGCGTCTCTGTACTAGACCTGCACATGATTTTATCCTTTTTTTTTTCTCTCTCTCTTATTTATTTATACATTAATTTTATTCCTTCCACATTTTCGGCATATTTTTTCTTTACTTCTTTGTACATACTTTGTATTAGTTATTAATAATAATCAGCATAAGATGTTAATTTATTTTAGCTCAATTTCATGTGGAAATAAATATATTATCCCATAAAAAATGTGGTCTTTGATATAAGTCTTATTTAGAATAAATCCAGCCGTGATTTTCCTATCGCATTTTTTCCATATAGATTCACTTTTCTGTCCGCTGGACATTCCTCTTCAACTACATCCTATAGATCTAACGTGAGACTTCGCAATGCTTGCCTGTAATTCTTTAATCTATGTAATGTTTGTACTTTCGCACCGTTTTCCTCTAAGAATTCGTAAACCAGGAACAGAACCTTAACGCTACTTAAAATTTATTAAAAGTAAAAAAATGCGGACGGCCTGTAACATTCGTTAGAGACAGCGATTTTGTATAATCATATAAGTATTTGCATTTCGAATGCAAAATATTGCTTTGAAATGAGGTTGACAGAAACAATTTAATAGTGGAATACTATGATTTGATTTGCCATGGGTGCTATAATACATAGGAGTATTTTATAGCATTTAATTTTCAACACTTATTAATATCCAAAATTCGGCTTAACTAATTTATAACAACTCTCTACTATTTACTATTAACCCGGTTTAGTGATCCCACTGGTAACTCTAAACTGGATATGCAAACTATAAAATTTAATGATCACAATTGTCCTGTATGGCGTGTGTGTTGGAATATGTTGGCCACCACGCTTATCTCGACCGGTGATGACGGTTGCGTGAGAGTTTGGCGCAGTGAGTCATCAGTTGCTCCATGAATCCCCGAAGATTTAACCTTTACGTTTTACTTGCAGTGAATTATAATCGCAACTGGAAATGTGCTGCTGTTTTAAAAGCGGAAAGCAGTAGTGGCCTGAATCAAGAGCCCCCTGTCAGTTCACCAACTGCATCGGCGGCAACTACAGCAAAATATTATAAAAAGGGCATTATAAGTAATCCAAACCAAGTTCCTTGGCACTGATTTGAATAAAAAAAAAATAAAAGGTTATAGCTAAGACAACATTAAGAACGAAAATTCTTATTTTCGAAGTTTTAATATTTTTTCTATAATTTTTTCATCTATTTGGTTATAATAAATCTTAATAAAATTGTCCAATAAACTTTTACTGATATTTGGTACAAAAGTACGTACAGTTTTCAATATCGAATCACAAAAAATATTCATTGGCACCTGAAAATATATCAATCAAATGTGTGTTAAATTAATGCAGGTCCCTGTTATGTTGCTTTTAGTAAATATTGACAGTTAAGGTTTTTCGGATATTTGACATAAGACTCGTAAAAATATTAATAATCCATTTACCGTCTCCGCTTTGCTCCCGCATTCTGTGCGTTAAAAGTCAACTAAACTGTCTTGACGTATTTATTCAAAGCACTACGTTTAAAGTTGAATAAACCTATTGCCTGTTTACAAGAACAACCGGGATGTAAAATAGTAATAACAATGAACAGAACAATATGTATGTCATAAATGTCATTAAATTAAATTGCACACAAGCATATATTCTAATTGGGATTGGTTGTAATAAGGGATGGTTTCTTTTTATTATCTCTTAGAAAGCGGAGTTTACACAAAGTTAACATATATCGCTTTTCCATGAGGGGATATACGACATTAACCAGCGTGGGAAGTTATTTCATTAGAATATCTCACGCAATTCTGTTAAAAATTATAAGTATGTTTATACTATTTTTAAAAATATTCTTTTTCAGTGCAGAAAATTTTTCAGAATTGCTAACAATAGTTCGGTGACTTATGAGTATGTACATTTTCTCTTCTACTGTTTTAGTTATTCGCAGAAATAAACTTTCTAGGAAATTCAGTAACCGAATGTGATCGCGAAAAGCGTCTTTTTCACGTAGAGTAGTGGAAGGTTATCAAGTATTTATTCAAAGGCACAACATTTCCATCAGCGATTTCTTCGTTTTCAGTAATCCGATTCTCCTACGTTCGTATTTTCATCGAAATAGCAAGCTCTGGTTTCTTTTTTTAAAAATTCGAAAATTTTCCAATTCTTGATTTAAAAAAAATATATTCATCTGGAGTTTTTTTTTTTTTTTTGTAGCTTAAGTCACGTCGACTGCGGAAATCAGCTAATTCAATGTATGAGGACGCCCAGGCTTTCCCAAAAACTCATAATTATCGCCCTTTTCCTACTTCAATTTATCAAAATAATATAAAAGTTTACTAGATGAAATTTTGCGGTCTTATTCATGATTTCAATGGACGGGCAACAGGTACCTAATCATAAATATATACCTTATATGTTTCTGTGCAAATACGATATTCTGGTCACAAAGTAATATATCCTTTTTTGTTTGCTTAACATATGCATGAAAGATTTTCAGGCAATGTTTATGCAACCGGTAACAAGGAATAGTGTTAAACGGCGTTGAACGTTAACTCACTGAACTGTATCGTTAACCCAGCAGCCGTAAGTTTATTTCTGGTCCTTGAAACTCATTATAATTAATAAGCACGAGAAATGCTGTATCTACGTGTGCAAAAATGTCCGCACATTTCGGTTTTGGTGGTTACTCGCTATTCATTTGTAGCAATAGCGGTCAGCAATGCATTGGTGCATTATTTTTTGTTTTACATAATATGCCTTCCAGAGAAAAAAATTTACATAAACAGAAGTTTAAAACGCGGAAAATACAGCTGGTGGGATAATTAAAACAAATTAGATGACTGATAAGTATAAGAGAGCTGCTGCGCTGCGCTCTTGCTAATGAGCGCCGGAAGAAAGCTTAGTTAAAAAAGGTCTAATTTTATTTATAATTGCGAACGTGTTTTTATTAGAAACATGATTTTCAATTTAGTTGTTTCGCAACTTTTTAAAGCTTTCAACATTTTACGTACCTGTTACCGAAAAAAAATGGTATTTTGACGTTGTGAGAGTCAGAGATTCGAAATACGTGGATTTCCTTGTCGGTGTCTACGTCTAGCCTGACGTAAAGTCCATGAATGAAATATGGAAATACAATTACGTTGAAATTCCATCTACAACTGTGCAGTTGGGAAACAAAGTTTTTATGTGTGTATTGTATCTCTATCAAAATTATTTCAAATTTCTGTAATGCCAAGATTAAATTTTTATGCTTAACTTAAACCCCAGTAATCCCCCTTCTTAATAATGCTTTAATAAACTTAGAACAATATTCTCATACATTTAAAGTTTGAAAACTTTTAATAAAAATAAAATGAAATTTTATGACAAACATTTTTTGGAGAAATTCTATACGTATTTACATTGAAGACAGGCCGTGATAAGTTTTGGTATCATATTTTATGTACCTTGTGGGCAAACTAATTCTTGTTATACCGTACGCCAATTGCGGTACAGGGTGTATTAGGTCGTAAGTGGACGTATGTAACACGCAGAAGTGTTGAAGAAAGATCAATCTTTTATTATACAGTTCGATTCAGAATCGTTCAGAATCTGAATTGATCTAAACCTGTCTGTCCGTCTGAAGTGATACAGTGACGTGTTTTGACCCGAAGACGAACGCTATTGAAAAAGGCTCAGATCGGTCCAGTTCGAACACTCCCTATATAACGCCGTATTCTGAAAAGTCGTTATATGAAAAAAACATGAAATTTTCAAAATTTCTCGCCAAAAGTGGTTAAGTAGTACTGTTCAGGCATTCTAAATTGTGACATCTTTGGACCGGCTGGGACATTTTTTTGAATCCACTGTCATATAATGAAAGCTGAAGTTCATACGACTCTTCTCTTCTTTCCATTCTGTTGCTTTCCTTTTCTTTGGTTCTTTCTTTCATTTGTTTCCATTTTTCGTTTTGTTTTCTTCTTCCATTTTTCCCTCCGACTCCTTTTTTGCTTTGTCTTGTCTCTTCTTGGACCCCTTTTTTGCTCTCCTTTTTCCCTCCTCTTCTATTATATTCTATAGTCCTCTCTTCGTTTCATTTCATTTCTCTTTCCTTTTTCAAATAATAATAATAAAATAATACGACCCTTGCACTTCTGTTTTTCAGTTTTCCTAGATAATATTTAAAGGCAAGGTTTTCGTCCGTAATATTTTTTATTTTTAAAATCTTTTCTATTCCATTTATAGATTATTTTCAACTCTATTAATAAATTATTTTCAACTTGTTTTATAAAAAAAACTTTTTATGTATGTTTCTATAAAGTTATGAATTAATGACTTAGATTGGCTTTATTTAAGAAAAATTCTTATGAAAACAATATCTTTTTTAATTTTTAAACAGTTTTTCAAAAGAAACACACACACACACACACACACGTCTTATCACATAGGTTATGTTAAAGTTTTAAATCGCTGTACACTAATTGTTCCCGTTTTCTCTATCTCTTTTTCTTTCTTTCCGTCAATAATCAGTAAGCCATTTCAGCTCCCCAAGGACGATAAGGTTTCGTTGAGCCATTAGCAGTAACATATACCCCAGCATTGGTATTGTAATCTTGTCCCACCGTTGCCGGATATTGTGAAGGCACTGCATATGTGAGGCTACCGCTAGAAGCCGTCGCTGTGGGATCTCTATGTGGTTGATGTGGGTGGCTGCTAGTCAATTCAATATAAGTGGCCCCTTGATCGTGGGTGTAGTGATGATGAATGCCTTGTTGTTGGTCGTGTTGTTGTTGCTGCTGTTGATGGGGTTCGTGTGAGTTGCTCGGTGTGTGTTGAGAGTGCGTAACATGTTGTTGTTGTTGCGTTTGTTGAGTCTGGTGGGGCTGTGTAACCACGGCGGTTTGCTGTGCGCTAGAATGATTTGCATGCGTCATTGTTGTATTATCTTGGTTTGGTCCGACTGAATCAGAGCGTCCATTTTGTTGAATATTTTGTTGCTGTTGCGCATGTAAATGCGTTGAGTTCGGTGATAAAGAGAGAGGAGGATATTGATGTAAACCGACTGCTGGTATATTTGTAGCATAACCAGAACTTGCTGCACCGAGATGGCTGGCAGTTGCAGGATAAGTTTGGTAGGTCGCCACTGCACAATTTGCTTGATATCCGGCAGCCGTAGAATGTGCTGACCAACCACTAGTACTGCCTGGACAACCTTTACCCGACAACTCACGTTGCTGTACAAAATATTGTAAATGTGACATTAAACGCAAACGTAAAGGATCCTGTATATCCATTCCTTCAATCGTTACTAAATAACGGGCTACTTCAGCTGCGCACTCGCGGAAACCGATAATATGATAGTCCATAGCAAAACGCTGCGGATCATAACTCAAAGCGTCCGCACCTGCAATTGCGCAAAAAAAAGTAAATAAATAAATGAATATATATAAAACAATAACATTATTGCAGACTGATTTTTTCAAATTAAACTAGTTGAATTTTCACATAAGAATAATATTTATTTCCCACGCTCCGTTTAGTTTGATGAGTGCTAGGTTTAATATAAATGTATAAACACATCAACCCTCTCCTTTAGATTTCAATTTCTTATTGGGAATCGTTTGCCGAATAAGGGTGATTTTTCTGTAAATTGGCACTGTGCGACCACGCCGATAGGCATTATCTCATTGCTCAAGCCTCTTCTTTAATATTGAAAACTTTAGGGAGACTTCAAAAATTTTTCTAAATGCCTTGCTTCAGGATTAAACAAACTTTTCTATTAGGAAAGTTACTACCAATTAAGAAAATTTTTACCTATTTTAACCTGTATAAAAATGATATTTTTGAACCCTCGCAATTATTTTACTTAAGGTGGTTTGCGAAAGGAAATTCCACATTCTCAAGTATAAAGTAAGAATTGCTTTATTTAGTAAGTTGTAGGTTTGAATGGCTTTATATACGTAATTTTTTGCGATACACGAGCAAAGACTTCATTATATTTTCTCTTTAGCTTTTCCCGAATTGTGGGCAATTATGAGAATTTTTTAGAGGTGCTAGTTAACAGAAACTCATGAAAAATGTTTAAGGTTTCTAGAAAAACTTTAAGTGGACGGACTCGTTTTACTCTATAATAACGTTACGAGAGAACGCCAGATCAAAAACATTTTCGTATCATTTTTTATCAGGAAGCGCTGTGCATATGGTGGTAAAGGGCAATCTCATGGCACCTAAGGTGATATTTCGCGGGATTGCAATGCAATAATGCTTCAAGCTGATCAGAAGGTTATTTCCACTTCTTGCTTTCCGCAAATGATTCAGTGCGCAATTGAGTTGAAGAGTTCAGAATTGATCACGAGGAAAGACGTGGTTTCTATCACGATAACAGCAGTCTAGTAAGCAAAAAGTAAGAGATCTTGGTTAGAGTATGAAACGTCATAGTCAAACAACCCACCACGGCTGGATATTTCATCTTGCGTAATATTTGTTATAATTTGTCTACCGGAACAGTTGAATGAAGTTGTTCAATTTTTGACATTTGACACTTTGAGCATACGGAGCCAATATTCTATCTTGATCAGAAAAACATACTACAATCAAATAATACCATTTTGTCGCACGTAGAAATATGTAGCGAATAGATGGCAAATTATACATATTTTTAAAAAGCGTCAAGAGTCAAATAGATTAGCTCCAATATTCTGCGGGGCTGTTTTCCGAAAATTGATTACGTTATTGAAAAATTTTTCTAATATTTGGAAATTTTTCTCCACCCGTTTTAAGCTAAACATTATTTGGATTATAAAAAGATTTTCATCGGCAAGTTGACAAGCTCGCAATTGCTTGTAAATCATTTGGCAGTTTGTGTTCTAAAGTATGCAATGGTTTAAGTTTGCAATTCAACTAAATTAGTCTAAAGATTCGGTCATAATCACTGCCCAATCGCGTATACATAATATACAGATTTTATAACTACGGTAAATGCGTTAAAACCTAAGCTAACTACGCTTTTGGATTCCAATGTCAATGGCTCCAAACTTATACTTATAAAGGCGTTGTGCGTTACGAACTTCTCAAGCACAACAAAAACACCACTTAGGAACTTTGTCGACCATGGCTAATGTAATTCAATCAAACATTAGAGTAAACAATGTTCAGCTTCATTACAATAGTGACAAAAAAAGGTAGAAAGTATTGGAATGGAATATACTGCCATAATTGCGAGACACTGCTCTTTCGGAGTAACACTCGCTCTCATTAATGACACAATGCTTTTCTATTTTTATGGTACCAAAAAATTTATAGCTTTCGTAAGTAGCTTTTGAAGATAAGTAAACAACTGTACTAGAATTCAAATATTGTCAGCAAGTTTATGGCTAGTGGTGGATAGTACTTTGGATGGGTAATTTGTACCCGTTATTTCACAATAGTGTTATGTTTGCATCAAAGAAAATTCTGAAAATTAATGCATGCTGCCAATGATATTCAATTTTTATGTTCTTCTCATTTTAGTATAAGCTAGCTCTCTAAGTACTAAAAATTCTATCCATGTCAGGCAATTTAGTTTTTTCATATTTTTATTTTCATAATATAATTGAAGCGGTGCAACCTTTTTGTAAAAGCAATCCATTTTGGTGCAAAAAACCCTTTCAAATTTTGCTACGTTGTATAGAAGAGCTTATCTAATGTTAATGCTTCGCAAAATGGCTGTAACTTTCGTAAAGATTTACTCAGATGCCATCTAATATTAAATATCGATGACTGCAAAAATTTTAATTTAAAAAAAAAAAAAAACCAAAAAGAATTATGGAAAAATATTCACCATTGCAATACATTTACGCAATGTGTACAATGTGTGCGCAAGGAAATTGAATCAAAAATGGTCTAAAACATCAACTCGAAGAAAATCCAAGTTACCGAAATCGCGCGAAAAGCATTGTATACATTACTAATGGTGCAGCGCTCAATTATGTGCACATTTATTTAAGATTGAATAGGTTTGGTAATTTACAGTTAATCCATCGACGTATACGACGTCTATAGCAGTCCTATGTATATATCCGAAGCATTACTAAACAAAAAAAAGAAGTGTGCTTATGGTATAGTAAAAAGGGTCTAATTTTGAATTTGAATTAGCGAAATTTCTTTCTAAACTTTCATATTTGGGAAGTTTTTTAAAACTACATTTGAAAGGATATTTAGGAAAGCTCATATAAGAAAGAAATTTTTATATAAAGTTATTCAAAAACTAATTTTCAACACTTACCTTTGCTTTGAAGATTTTTCAAATGCTCGACAGTAAGTTGTAATATTTCTGCCTTTTCTAATTTTGCTGAGCCTTGCTTTTCATAGGCCGATGGCACAAGACGTTTCAATTCCGACAGCGAAGAGTTAATGCGATCGCGACGTTTCTTTTCAATGACTCCACGCCGCTTCTTGCGACTCATCAACTGACAACTTCCAGCATCGCTAGGAGAGATCCTATTTAATAGAGAAAAGTGTTAACTAATGAATATCACTAAATAATCTCGATTGTGAAAGTGAATATGACGACGTTTGATACATACTGTTCTTTAGATGATTCTTCCGAATAAAGTTCTTCACAATCACTTTCAGACATGGCACGCTTCAGGCTGTGGGGCGTTGTGGTGGTAGATGATGCTTGTGGAGGAGGTATACTCCAATGATTTTGCGGTGTAGTTGGTATTGCGGCTGCGCCATAGCTCCAGTGCAAAGCTGCATTGTGATCCATTCGGTCAATTTTTAAAATTACCTAATTTTCTCAAAAACCCAACACGCCAATAAAAAATTTTTTGACCTCAAATATTCAGTTTGATTGAAAAATTTTTTGAAAATATTTCTACTTAAGCGATGCTGTTGCTCGCATCGAAGCACGTGACTTATCGTGTGTGCGAACGACGTTCGACTGATTTTCAAACGCACGACCAGCATGTGCCACAACTCAAACTCTAGGCAATTGTTACGGTTTGCACCAATAAAATCTGTATTTTAGAAATAACCTGAAATTACCCCTAAGTTTACATATGAAGACACACATACACCTAACTTTAGTAGTTATTTGGCCATTGTCATGTTTGAGAAACTTGAGCATCGCTAGCAAGGGTTATTTGTAAAATATGATCCTTTCCTCACAGTAACAGTTAAGAGGGAAAAGCAGAAAAATCAAGCTTTACACAAAAGAGAAAGAGAGTAGGTCGCTCCTATAAAATTAATATATATTATTACGATGGCTGACTATAGTAAGAGCAATTGTTTACGAACAAGTGTTATTTTTCATTGTAGTAGTAGTTCTTAAATTTTTCTCTTGTACCTTGTTGTTGTTTGTTTACTTGTAGGTTTAGGCAATCTTTTTGACAAGTTATATTCCGGGGCCTTATTCCACCACGTCGCTGTCAATTGCCTTCTCTCTCTTACTGCATACTTTTTTGTTATGTTTCACTTCTCTACGTCAACCTTCGAATGTAATTGCTTGCCATTTTGTTTTATAAACAAAATGTTCATTGTCGACAATGCTATGTTGACGATTGTCTATTTTATTACTATTATTGCCACTTGACATTGGCTTCAAGAAAAAATGCCGTTAGCGTTGACATACAAGATGCGTACGAAAATGTTCGCTTTGCGGTCGTTCATAAGAAAAATTTGTATACTTACATTGTATGTTGAATATGGAGCACACGTTTTGAACTTACGCTGGTCGTGTGCGCCCCAACAAGTGCATTTCTTGCATTCTCTTCAGACTTGAAACACTGGGCTTCTAGGTCATGTCGCGGCCTTCACGGCAGCAGTGCTACTTGCCACGCGTTTCTTTTATTATCTCGATTTGCGAAAATTATACCATTAGGTCAACTTGACATGGATGGATATTTGTCCATAATAACATATGAAACTCGAAGTTTATATTTTACTTAAAGACTATCAACACCTTCATTTAGAATATGTTATGAGAGAATAAAAAAGAGAACCTCTGTAAATGCCAATAGTGCATTTTTTCGATATTTTCTAACTAAAACGTTGTGGTATTTTAACATTAGGCAATCCAAGAATGATAATCAATTGAATGGATTTGAATTCCTAAAAGGACAATGCTTTCTGAACTGTTTAAGATGTTCCAATTTTGTTGTGATAATAGATCGATTTTTTTGTGGATTAAAAAAAAGTCAGTTGTAGTAAATATGTGAAATTTAATCTAAGACACTCGGTGTTCGTGTGACAGTTTAAATAAAAATTGGATTTGAGATCGTTCATATATAGAGCGAAGATGCTCCAAAAATCTAAACGAATTTAGTATTAATAAGTAAGTAAATTACTACTTCTCGCAATAATACTAAAGCAGGTTCAAACTTTAAAAGTTAAATTGTGCAAAGATAGACTCGAGCTTTTATCAAATCATTCACATTTACATGTAAATGACGATTATAATTTCCGACGTTCCATTATTCTCTGGCACGGCATTCCTATTTTCTTTCGAAGTCTCAAAAAAGAGTGAGCGACTCAAACAACAATACCATTAGTAAGAATTTCAAAAACCTTACAACCAATTTTTTTTGAGAAATTTCGAATTTGAGAAAGCTTTTTGAATATTGAACGTCATCCTCTGTTTGCATTATTTGGGGATTTATTTTTTTGACGAATTCGAAAATTTCATGTTATCCCGTTTAAGGCTTTGGCAACGGAAAGCAGACAGCCGCGCGATCGTCGAAATGCTGGAATTACTGAAAACTTACTGAGAACTTTGGCGATAGCAGCTCTCGATAACAAGCCCTGTGTGTGAAAATTACTTATATTCTGTTACACTCGTGCGGCTAATTATTACCGGATATTATGCTACAATATCTTTGCTATGTAATGGTTAACATACCATAGATAAAAAGATTCGTCAATTTTTTTCTTCTTAACTCGTATTGTGCAGCGTATAATAAATTCGAAAAATCTGACAATCTTGCTGGCAAATTACGAAGAATATTCTAAAGACACAAATGGATTCTGCCTTATTTAGTAGACAAGAAAAATATCTCCTAGTTTACGATAAGCATTTCCTCTTACATAATTGTATTAATAATAAATTCAAATATAAATTAACAATTAATATTTGAATTACTAAACAATTATTTTCTATTTTAAGAACATTGTAAATATTAGAGAGTAATTTGAAGGGAAAAATACTTATCTTAAAACGATGGCTCCAATAATGCTGGTGAGTGCTGCAGTTTCTTTCCATATGTTAGTAGATGGCAAATGTAGATAAAGGGTATTGATCGAATTTAATAGAAGTAAATTTGTTTAGTTTTACGTGGGTAGTTCTTAGACTTTTACAACAACAAAAAATTAGAGGCAGGCTCTAAAGTAGGCGGTTAGGGCGGCTAAGCGCATCTTAATGTGGATCAAAAAGACGTTAACATTAGCTGCGGTGATGAAGCACATATCTCTGAAATGTCTATAACGAAGAAAGCGGAAGATCACGGTGATATCTCTCGTGCGAAAATGTTTAATTTTTATGAACAATCGAAAGCCTTAAAAATCTGTCCGAAATTTTCACGCAATATACAAATTAAAACGCAGGAGCAGCGTATGCACAAAACTATAAAGTTTTAGATATATACCGGTACTAGCACGAACTGCCCGAAGCGGAATATTACGAAAACAAATTTGATCGAAATCATATTTTAGGAAGCTTATATTTGAGATTAGAGAGGAATTACTACTCACGAAATATTTTGTATGGAGTCAGGTCAAGGAATAGATCCATCAGTTCATTTAATTTGTTTATTTAATAATTATCATAAACAAGTTTTAATCACAAAAAAATTAACAATTGCGACTTTTTGACATGTAAAGGTTTAAATAAAAATTAGACCTACGTGGTCCAAATTCGGAAAGGTTGATTTTTTTGCTTTTGGTTGACTATTATGCACCTTTTTTCACCAGGACACATTGAAAATTCGACCGTTTTACCACATAAAAATTCAGTTTCTGTAGGTTAGACGATAGGGCGTTCAAAGGTTCAAGGGGGCTAAAGCCGGTTCAAAGGTTTCACATCAAGGACGGCTAAATAGTACTACTTAGCCACTTTTGTTGAGAAATTTTGAAAATTGCAATTTTTTTCCACATATTCAGTTTTCAGAATAGGGTGAAAAACCAATCCAAATTAATTTCAGTGCGTTTTTGTACCAAATTTGATCAAAATATCTCAAAAATTGTGATATCTAGCTTAAAAATAAATTTACATGGACAGACATCAGACAGACAGACAGGCTTAGATCGATCCAGAAGATAATTCGGGATCGATCGGTATAATAAAAGCTGGGTCTGTCTTAAGCCCATCTGCGTGTTATGTGCGTCCGCACTAACTTAATATATTCTGTATTGCAAGTGGTGTAGCGTACAATAACAAGTAAGAAAATTATATTCCACCATTAAAATATTTGCCGTTCCAAGCTTTTATTTATTGTCATAAAAAAGTGAATAGGATACGATTTATATCTCACCTTTTATTTTATTTATACTTATTGTTAAGAAAAATGATATCCACTGCAATTAAGTTAGATTAGCATACTTATCTTGTCGCATTCTGTTCTCTGAGTCCTTTTATTTGATACCCATAACGATAGTATAGTTAAAATATATTTAACCTACCACGTTGTGGTGTCCACCATATTTGTGTTAGACAGATAATATATTTTTATTTGCGGAATGTACAAAATAATTTGAAACATTCTACCTTGCTTACCTTGTGCTTAATAAGCGTAAAATCTGGAAAAATGAAAAAAT